AAACTTCTATACATATGATTTCACATTAACAATTGGTGTTGATTCTTCACGTAAAATCGATCAACTGTGATAAAAACATATGAATGCAATAATTCTAATGCAAAAATGAGGCTGGTGGCTAAATGTACTTGTAAACATCATAAGTAAAAAGTGATAAATTGTAAGTGAAAAGTCATAAGGCAAAACCTAAAAAATAAACACGAGAAAATAAGTCAGCATTTATTACAAAGATCAATTACTATTTTTGAAATAACAATCATATATATTCCTTTTAAATACCATAATACATCCTATAAAGTATGGTTGCTATTTGTTGCGAATGAATAAGACATTTGAATCTAATTACACATACTTGAAATTACACGTATAACTTATATGTCACGGTACGAATCTATTCAGTAGATGATGTGCAATCTCGGTCGGGACAGAGCTAGCCCTGTAAGGGGTTCCGGGTTCGAATCCCGGTATGGCTGCATATCTTTCTCCCCCTGTGACATTTGGCATAGTGGAAAGTGTCCCTGCCAGTCACGCGGGAGACCGAGGTTCTATTCCTAGTCGGGCAGCCGTTTTGTTACCAGGGCTTGATAGAAGAGTTGCAACCATTATTTGCATATATACAAACAACATTTGCAAAACATGTTGAAATGAGATTACACGGATATTTTTTAGACTTTCAATTCATGTATTTCTTTTAAAAAACCTTTTTAATGTATATGTTCTGACTCATAATAATGCCTACAACTCCAAATCCGTACGGTAAATTTTGCTTAAATTTTGCATACAGATGTCCTTTTAGGTATACCACTAAACAATGTTGTCAATTTTATAAGCCTTATAGTGCAAATTAGAGTGGTTATAACTTAAATGATAATTTACAAATATATTGTAATTTGCTCAATATTTACAAACCAATATCTTAAAACAACCATATAATGAAGTGAAATCGTAGACTATCGTCTTTATGATTTTAAAACATCATTTTTTGAAACTTAACCTATAGTAACCTAGTATATTATCAATTACACGAAAAAAATCAGTATAAGTCGTTTCAAAGCGTAGTTATATTAAATCTATTCTCAAAATTAAATTTTTCAACTCGGTACACAGTTGTAGTGCTGAATCAGCGTCCAATGGCATCTGTAGATCTGGCTTCAGAAGGGGTGCTAATTCTATGAATTCCTCACATTGTCTTCTTGGGCGTGAAAACATGTTCTTTGCAAATATATACGTCTCTCAAGTTAACTGCATTGCCGAAGTCGTGAGTTTCATACAGACCTGGTACAAAAAACAGTGTGTCAGGTTTACCACAAATTACAGAAGAACTTTTTGTTGCCTTATTTCATGTGCAATCCGGTCTAACTCGGTTTGTATGAGGTCCATGAAGCAAAATTTTAAGTTCTCACATTGTATCGGATCCAGATCATTAAATACACAAGTATCGCGTAAGTGTTTGAAAAAAAATCTACCAATGGATTCCATTTTGTCTCGTAATGTACACCACCACTTCTCAATGCGTTGGTTAGATGTGCTTTTTCCAGCTACAATGCTTCGAGTACCAACTATCGGATCTGTAGAATCGTGTCTGAAGTATTGCTGCAATAGTAAAGCAATGCAGCTTTCCGTACCAACATCACAACCTAGTAAATGGGTGAGGGGGGACTTGATAATGTTCATTAAAGGTGTCTTAAAGTATCTTGCAATAAGGTGTGGGTCGTTATTTGAGTCCAAAACCTCTAACCATGTTATTTTTCTACTTTACCCATTCACAGCACCATGGATATAAAATCCTTGTAATTTAAGTTTGTCTTAACCGTCCATATGTCATATAAAACTGGTTCTTTGGCGTAGTATACGTGTCGGCATAAGCGATGAGCTTTCCGCATCTCAATACCACCCGGATCAAGCGCTCTCATTATTTCCATGACGTCGTCTCCCTTGACGTTCATGTGGTAATCCAGCATTAACCTACGCCACATTGTACGGTATCCTATGCGTTGTCCATTTGTTTGTATTTCTCTGTTTATAACATCAGATCGACACAGTCTCAATAGGAGTAAATATTCCATTACGACGTTTAGAATTTAAGCGTTTAAAAAGTCTATTCACTGTACTAAATGACGTCGTAATGCCATGCTGTACCAGAAAGTACTATATTATCAGCAGAGTTTTGTTTGTTATAGATGTTGAGGGTAGGTATCTTGGCACGGTAGCTTTGGTAATGCTGAACAGTATAATGATGAAGACACAGATCAACATCAAGGTTTTCATCCTTGTTACCTTTTGTCCAGTAGGTGTGTCTGAAATAAGAGTTTATCTTTTATCTAAATCTTTATACATTTATATTATATAAAATGGGTAAATCTCTTAGCTCCATTTTTTAAAGATTGATAGGTGCGAAAAATATTTTAAATGCTAGTAGGATATTTTGTTCTAACTGGTTCTATATCTACGTTTATTCTTCAGTGTTCTTTTCTCAATTGTTAAAATATACAACAAAATTAGACGCAAATGGTGCTCGATTACAATTTTAAGTTAACTTTGTACTTGTGTGTATGAACAGAGCACTTGCCGTTCTTTACTGATTCCGTGTTAGCTCAATAAAATGCTGAATTGCGTTACATGTTTAATACTGTGCACCATGTCATTTTAAGACGTATTCCCTGTCTACTTGTAAAACAGTTACAAGTTGTATTTTGTTTGTTACTCATGGGCAGATTTTGTGATGAGGACAAAAGATGTATAATCACTAATATAATGAACATATTTAGAACATAGAAGATTGTACACACACAGTCACACTTGTGGAATTAAAGTCTGTGATATATTACCACTATGGGATTATATCAAATAACATTTAATTCCCTCCTTAACACATCCTCTCCTCCATGACAAATCTGAATGAAATTATTTAAAACGTTTAAAAACATACCTGAAACCAAAGTTGCTGCTTTCAGCTTCTAAAGCACGTGTAAAATGGGTTAGCCAAAAGTCATAAGACGTAAGTCACAAATCAAAATTCAAAAGTCGAAAGTCAAAAGTAAAATATCCGTAAGTCGAAACTCAAAAGTGACCCTCCAAGGCTTCCATACATTTGCATAGCTAGCTTGTAATGACAACAAGCACCCAAAATTTCGTGTTCTTTATTTCCGCTATATTTGTGTTGCTACTCATTTATTTAAACTGATGTCTTGATTCAACGGTGCGCTGAACATTCAGCAGTTTATATGTAGGTAGGAGGGTATTTTTGTATGAAACACATACATTAATGAGAAATAATTATTCACAATTCTTCGATTAAAAAATCTTCTATCTAATAATTTAATGATATGAATGATAAGCGTATATCTTTCCTTTAGGATGATTGTCCATATTAGGTTGAACACACTTTTAGATTTCTGCGTCACAAGGTCAAAGGTCAAGGTCACTATAACCTTAAAACTGAAAACAGTTTACGTAGCACAACTTAAGTCCATTTGGCCCACAATATTCAAACTTCATAGGAGGATATAACTCTTTATTTAATTCCCATGTCTTACAAATGCTTCATTCTTACAAAAACACACTTTCGGGCATATAATGTTCCGCCTAGCGGTGCTCTTGTTTAAATTTAATTATTTTTTTACATAAATTATATATTGAAACAACGATCATTTACAGATATTTTGATTAATTAGCAATATGAAAACATGAACTTTAGTTTAATTTCTTTGTCATAACAAGCTCCATATTTTTTGTAACTAGTACACTTTGTAATAAATTTCACATTTCTTTGTTAAATCAACTTAATAAATGTAACACTTGTTGATCCCATTTTTTTTCTATAAAAATACTAACAACAGTACTGGTAGTGATTTCAATCAGAGATGTAGATAACATGTTATATATATGACTCTGTTTCAATATTCAAATTGATACTTATAATATGTCTTTATTGTTCATTAATTTTTTTCTCTTTTTTTATTATTCTATTAATATCTTTCTTAATTTAGTATAAATAGAATTTTCATGTCGTTAAAAATAAAATTTCACAATTTTGTCTTTCATTTAAACCTCTCATCATTCAACCATCAATATTCTATTTATCACATACCCAAAATAAAGACCGTTTAAAGTGAAATAAGAGTCGTTTTTCATTGACGCGCCTTTAGTATAACGCTAATATTAGCGCGTCTTTACACTATGTTTGTATAACGCTAATGACGTCACGTCAAAATATATGCTAGGCCGTGCAATACATTTTACAGAGTGGTGTGTGATTATATGAATCTTACAATAGCTCGAGGGTGACTGTTTACGGCGGTAACGAGGCTTTGCCGAGTTACCGCTAAACAGTTACCCGAGAGCTAGATATTCCCTTCTGCACCGACAGCTGGTGTTTGATTCTTTTTCTTGCATATTGCATATCAATTATTTTCAGAACAGAAAGTACGAAAACTGATATTTTCATTACGCACTTTTTTTCTAATAGCAGCTTATGAACTTACAACTTCATTCATAACGGTTAAGTGACGTCATTCTAAGAACGCAATTCATTCATAAAAGGCGCGCGGCAATGACGCCATTTAAGGACGCGACTTGTCTTACATGGGGGTGTAAGACAGGGTTTTCTAGCACCGGTCCGGTGTAAACGGTAGATAATCCTGTCTGATATGCAAGAAAAAATAAAATATTCTCTGAAAATCAATTTTAATTTAACCGATTTTGGGGCCGCATTAACCAAATAGAAATAATGTGGGGCCGGATTGACTAATTTTGGGGCCGGATTGACTTGAGGCCGGGTTAACTCAGGTGTACTGTACTGTATAGTACTTTAGAGCAAAGACATCTTTAATTATTTGAGTATGTAGATTTGGAGTTCCACATTCTTCTTAAACATGCAAAATAAAATTGCAAAATGCTACTCTAGTATAAACAGTAATCATAGGCCTACTGCAGTATGTCTATTTAACATACACATTTGTACTTATTAAATTAGGCTGTTGAAACCTCGAGGTATTAAATTTGTCAAGGGGCACAACTCTCAGAATATTCTCGACGAATGCGAGTGTGTTTGTAAACAACAGTCAAAAATGGAAGCAGCTCCTCAGGACTTTTCTGTGATAACACAGAGCGTGGTGACTGTAAATGTATCAAGTTCTCTCAATAGCTTCGGTAGTGAGAGAAGATTTCAGAAGAATTTACAGATAAAGGATTTGAAGGTAGAAAATTTAAGCGAAATGTCCAGGGCCGGGGGGGGGGGGGGGGCATACCTAGGCTGGGTCCTACTAAACACTGCTAAGGACCGCTAAGGACTGCTAAGGAGCCACAAAGGACTACTAAAGAGGCACAAAGGACCTTAAAATACCTCCTAGGCCATTCTTATATTACATGGTATTATTTTTAGTGAAAAAAAAATTATAATTTTAAGAAAAAATATGATTTTGGTGAAAATTTTATGAGTTGTCGGACCGCTAAGGACTGCTCAGATACACAAAAGACTGCTAGGGAGGCACAAAGGACCTTAAAATACCTCCTAGGGCATTCTTATAATACAAGGTAGTATGTTTAGTGACAAAAAATGTATAATTTTAAGGAAAATATCATTTTAGTGATCAAATTCATGTTTTTGAAGAGTTGTAGGACCGCTAAGGACTGCTCAGGTGCACTAACAACTGCTAGGGAGGCACAAAGGACCTTCAAATCCCTCCTAGAACATTCTTATAATATATGGTAGTAAGTTAATAGACAAAAATGTATTTTTGTAAGAAAAAAATATAATTTTGGTGATAGAATTTATGCTTTCGATGAGTTGCAGGACCGCTAAGGACTGCTCAGGTGCGAAAAGGACTGCTAGGGACCTTAAAATATTTCCTAAGGAGGCACAAAGGACCTTAAAATACCTGTAAGGGCATTCTTATAATACATGGTAGTATGTTTATGTGATAAAAAATGTATAAATTTAAGGAAAAATATCATTATAGTGATAAAATTCATGTTTTTGAAGAGTTGTCGGACCGCTAAGGACTGCTCAGGTGCACTAACAACTGCTAGGGAGGCACAAAGGACCTTCAAATCCCTCCTAGAACATTCTTATAATATATGGTAGTAAGTTAATAGACAAAAGTGTATTATTGTAAGAAAAAAATATAATTTTTGGTGATAGAATTTATGCTTTCGATGAGTTGCAGGACCGCTAAGGACTGCTCAGGTGCGAAAAGGACTGCTAGGGACCTTAAAATATTTCCTAAGGAGGCACAAAGGACCTTAAAATACCTGTAAGGGCATTCTTATAATACAAGGTAGTATGTTTAGTGACAAAAAATGTATTATTTTTAAGAAAAAATATCATTTTAGTGATAAAATTTATGTTTTGAAGAGTTGTCGGACCGCTAAGGACTGCTCAGGTGCACTAAAAACTGCTAGGGAGGCACAAAGGACCTTCAAATCCCTCCTAGAACATTCTTATAATATATGGTAGTAAGTTTATAGACAAAAATGTATTATTGTAAGAAAAAATATAATTTTTGGTGATAGAATTTATGCTTTCGATGAGTTTGCAGGACCGCTAAGGACTGCTCAGGTGCGAAAGGACAGCTAGGGACCTTAAAATATTTCCTAAGGAGGCACAAAGGACCTTAAAATACCATAACTACTATATTACAAAGACATACCCAGGTCCCTGACAAAAAAGCAAGTATACATATTAATGTTTAAGCATATATCAATTATGAAGCCGGTCTTAAACACACATAATAATATTTATATACATGAACACAGATCCTGACTTTACATATAAATGTACAAGCACATATAAAAAGAATATATATACAAACACATATCATTATGAATCGATCGCATTTTTTTCATATACATGTATGTTGAAAATGTGTATATTGGCTGAACAAATTGTCCCTTCTGCACAGTAAATGGACTATCTATGTCAAATAATAAAGTTATTTAAATATCACAGAAAGGATAACTATTTGGATGAATATTCTGCAAATTGTCAATCTTAAAACAAGATACAAACACCAAATCATTCTTAAATCAAATATGCAAACACATTTCCTAAAAAAAAAAACATCAAAAATTATATGACTTTCTAATCCTTTTTTGTTCGAAAACCCAGAAATTACACGCCGCAGGGAGGCGTTTGTTACATTTTTGGGGGGAAATGTTACACTAGATGTTCAAATCTCATAGTCCCTGGGATTTTGGTTTTAATATAATGATAATAGCTTTATTTGCTTTAAATAGTACATAATGTTCAATTAATGTAAACAAAATAGAACAAATTTCAGCAAAAATACATAGAATCAAGCTCCTTGATCAAGGAGTTCCTTTCTTTTTGTATTTAAAATGAAAAGTTGCATAGACATTTGAATGAACTGTTCTGAAATTAAATAAGAACATTGATAATGAAAGGAAGATTCTTTATTTCCAGATAATGTGTTAAAGAAAATTATCATACAGACAGTAAACTTTCTATATATATTTACAAAACAATATATAGTGATATAATCAAAATTTATGTTTTTAATAGATTTATACAGGCTGAAGTAAATTATAAGTTGTCATAAGCTTGAATTTCTATTTACTAAAATAGTAAATACCAACAAATAAAAAATTTTCATTAAAAAATTTACAGATCTGCTTTTAAATTGTTGTAATTTATTACTACCAATTGATGAAATTTTATTTTTATTTATGTGAAATGTCAGTAACATTATTATATGAAGATGTTATTATGATTCAGTGTTATATAAGTTCATTATTTCCCAGTATTGATAGTTCTCTATGTTAATGTTTCAGTATAAATCGACAGCTGATCATTCATTAAAATTTATAGAGTCAAAATATTTGTTTAGGACTTTGTTTACAAACAAATTTTAATTATTATCACTTTTTCATTACTGGGGTCATAACCATATATTAAAATCCTTTTTCTTATGATCTTCTTCCATTTCTTATAATAATTATATTGGTCAAGTGATATGACAATGTGCTGGAATATGGAGACAAATACTTTATTCAGGGTGGTGAAATATATTTGTTTTTTGGTTGTTTTTTTTCATTGACTATATATTTGGCCAATAAAAAAATGATGTTCAATAGATCCTTAGACTTTATTGATCTACAGCCTACTTAATAGGCATTCTCTAACAGAAAGTCCCTCCCACTGTTTTGAAGTATACCACCCTATATTGGCACCCCACTGGTTTGTAATATATCACACATACAATACACAGCTCCCAATATACAGCTTTGTTAACTTCCATAATGTGCCAGCCCAATCTGTATGTATATAGTTAGGATCCTTATCCCACTGTTTTATGAGGGCTGGGATAGATGATTTGTTTTTTATTGAAGTAAAAAGAATGATCTTAAAGAATCTATGTTTTAACCATTGATTAATTTTAACCACAATGTCACTTCAACATTCTATATACCCTACTTTAATAGTTTTCTGTGAATATATAGCCTGATAAGATTTATCATTCTGTTATGATTATTCTATTTAATTTTAGTGTGAAATATTTCTATGTACAGTTGCAAAGCTAACTACTTCCATATCATACAACATAAGAACAAGATAAGTTTAGTGTTATTGTAAAAAGAATCATTTGCTCATTTCTGTTACATCTGTCCACTTCAGTTCCTTAAAAAAAATATTTATATATATATATTTTTATCACATAAACCCCGGCGCAGGAGAGTAATAAAGCCATTTAATAAAAACGATATTACACTAGTGTAATAACACTTTGACATGACGTCATTTGCGCTATATATAAACATAGCGTTACACTATGGGCGCGTCATTGTAGAATTACTCATTTTAACAGTTCACTGTTCTTATTTTGTATATGTGATAAATAGAATATTATATTTGTGTAGATTCAATTCTAAATTAATATTGAACTCATTGAATAAAACAGTATTATGCTCGCCACAGCTCGCATAATATGATTTTATTCAACTCTTTCAATAAATTTAGTATTAAACTACACTCATTCAATATCCTCTATATATGTATCCTACCACTTAACATAAGAGCATTTACTTAAAGACCTAGTCAATTTTCACATCCTATGCAGTCCTGTTACTCATCCAAAACATAATAATCAACACCAAAATACATAAAAATAGAAAGATCACTAAACAAAATTAAATAGAATTACTATACTCTAATAATTATTAATTTAAGGTCTTTTGTGCCTCCCTAGCAGTCCTTTTTGCCCCTTAGCGGTCCTCCAATTCATCGAAAACATAAATTCTATCACCAAAATTATTTTTTATCTTAAAATATTACATTTTTGTGTCGCCTTGAAAAGGTGACATATAGGGGTTACTTTCGTCGGCGGCGTCTGTGTCGGCGTCGTTGTCGGTGTCGTTGTCGGCGTCGTTGTCGGCGTCCCCTAAAGCTTGTCCGGAGCATAACTCAGTCACTATAAGTCTGATTGACTTCAAACTTGGTATGCATGCTTCTTTCAATAACCCGAAGTGCAGTGCACAAGGACCGGTACTCTGCAGTTCTTATTTTTTGAGTTATTGCCCTTTTGTTAATTTTCATACTTTAATTTTGTCCGGGCCATTTCTCTTCAACTAAAAAAGCTATGGACTTGAAACTTCATAGGATGATAGATCTCATTATTAAGAAGTGCAGTGCACAAGAACCAGTACTCTGCACTTCCTAATTTTTGAGTTATTGCCCTTTGTTAATTTTCATACTTTATTTTTGTCCGGGCCATTTCTCCTAATGTATAAAAGCCATGGACTTGAAACTTCATAGGATGATAGGTCTCATTAAGAAGAAGTGCAGTGCACAAGAACTGGAACTCTGCATTTCTTATTTTTTGAGTTATTGCCCTTTGTTTATTTTCATACTTTAATTTTGTCCGGGCCATTTCTCTTCAACTAAAAAAGCTATGGACTTGAAACTTCATAGGATGATAGATCTCATTATTAAGAAGTGCAGTGCACAAGAACCAGTACTCTGCACTTCCTAATTTTTGAGTTATTGCCCTTTGTTAATTTTCATACTTTATTTTTGTCCGGGCCATTTCTCCTAATGTATAAAAGCCATGGACTTGAAACTTCATAGGATGATAGGTCTCATTAAGAAGAAGTGCAGTGCACAAGAACTGGAACTCTGCATTTCTTATTTTTTTGAGTTATTGCCCTTTGTTTATTTTCATACTTTAATTTTGTCCGGGCC